TCGCCTCCAACACCACATCTCGAATGCATCTATCCTTTGTCGTTCTGGGGCTAAGATCATTCACCATGGACATTCATAATATCAAAGGAGTTGTTACTACAAATACTTTGCTGACTTGGTGAATTGTTAGGAAATTTGGAGATTAAGAATGGGGGATGATTGGGTCTCCGGTAACTTCGCCCCCCTCGCATACAAGATCACACAAATAAAAAACTTATAGCAACTTATTCGTTATGTGCGCGATGACAGCGCCCCTATTAGCCGCAACTATTCAGGACTTGTCATCTGTCAAATCATGTCAACTAGATGATAAGATATTTTTGTAATATTGATTTTTGGCTAGTTTTTCAACGAAATTGAAAAAATAGTGTAAACAGTGAGTGTGTATATTATACCTAGCGATTTTCTTCCTCGTAAAAATATGGATATTATAATACGCACGGGATTTGAATTTTAATTCTCTTCACAGCAGCTATCTATTTTTGTCTTTGCTGTAATGTCCACTTTGATATTGGAAACGAATAAAAAAAAAAACAGTTCGTGCAAGTTGCACGAACTGTTTTTCCCATTGTTTTTACAATTTACGACACAGCTTGTACGACACATATCGAAAAATTTTACGTTTTTACTTAAAATTATAAAGTAAGTTATAAAAATAAAGCAAATTGACACATGACAGCCCAGAATTAATTCACATTTCTGCCACGTCGTGCGCTACGGTCGATTTGCCGTTCCCCACCACCCGCTTCGCACTTAGCGAATAGTAGGTACTTATAAAAAAAACAACTGAAGGTTAACGACCATTCACAAAAAATAACTAACGATATACATTCACAATAAATTGAGAGAAAAATAAACAATTTTCATTTCAGATACGAACTCAAAATAATAACCCTATACACGTTCACGTCAAGAAACACAACTTTTTGACGTCAAAAAAAAAAAGAACTGTAACATCGAAAATGTCTGCAATAAAGTGCAGCAACTAATATCACAAAAGCATTTGTCTACAGCTTAAATATTATATTTCCACCACCCTGTATACTACGGTGATAAAATGCAGGCACACCCTGTATTATTTAACTAGTTTGTCTGGGAGTGAGATTAAAAGTTTATAGTTATTACTGGCAGTGGATAAAAATATAATTTCTTACTACTTGGCTTTATGAAAAATAAATTATAACAATTTTTCAATGACATTAAATATTTAAAAATAAGTTTATTTTCTTTAGGGATTATTTTTCAATAGTCATATTATAAATATTATCTGAGGAATAAAATTGTTGCTGTCACTGTCTTATTCAAACATTCTGACGCGACAGCATCATAATTATTCCCCAGGTAACTTTTATCTAGCCGAGCGTTCCGCGCGCGCCTCAATAGACCACCACAGACGAGGCCCAATAGAGCTGATGTTCGGCCGGGGTTGCGGGTTAAGCGCAATGAGGCACCGCGACCTCGGCCCAGAGCAGGAGAAGGAACGGGGTGTTTTTGGTCGGTAAGACTCTGACACTTTCTCTCGCCTTCCCTGAGCGGGAGAAGTCATTTGATGATTTTCCCCTGACAAAGAAAAGGTAACTTACTTATTGCACTTTTTGCACACAATATTATAAATGGCTGACTCTATGCTTTCATCCTTGCCTTCGAGTTAACCTTTAGGTGAGACAGAGACAGGTCATGGTACCGAGCATATTAGGCATTACAGATGGAGCTCTACAGGGTCGATGTTCAGTTGGGGTTACGGGTCAAGCGCAAAAAGATTCCACGGCCTGGGACCTTAAGCAAGAGAAGGAACGGGGGGGGTTTTAGTCAGTAAGAGTCTGACACTCTCCCTCGCCTTATTGCCTCCGCCCTAGGCGATAGAAGCCGTTGAATGAGTTTCCCTCCACAAAAAAGAGTGATACAGAGACAAATAACATTTTAACTTTAAAATTTACAGTCACATTTTCATTCGATTTTACGATTTGCTTAACATTCGTATTTTTCTAGCAAAATTTCAATAAATAACTTACATTTGAAGTAAAAACTCGAGTGATCCAATCCAATAACTTTGGAAAGCTTAGTCAAACCTTATTTCCATATTAGCACAAGTAATAAAAAAAATTGCGCTACCCATCCTCTTTTTAACCGCAGCAAGTGTAGCTTAACTCCTAAGGGTAAGAGCGTTATAAAATATAAATAAAACGAGTTTAAAACTAGCAATGTCAATATAATTCGGTTGACGGGCCGTTTCGTAACATTACGGGAACTTAACTGCTTTCCAAGATGGTTCATTGGATATAAATTGGAAACACCATGATTGGGGAAAAGTGAGGATATTCTTTTTCAAAGTAATAATCGCGACACATTATACATGATTTAATTTATTGAAAATAATTATTTTATTCACGTAGAAATGAGGATATATTGTCCAATTTTTGCTTAAGAACTTCTATCTCCAGTGCGAAAAGTATTCCTAATTAATCTTGGTGGAAAAGTTGCAAATGAAGTGTGGGAGAGCCATGCTTCGGCTCGACCAGAGTGATACTACGGCCTCACAGAAAACCGGCGTGAAACAACCACAGTGTTGTATTTCGCCTTGTCAGTGAGATTACCGGAGGCCCAATCCTTCCCCTCTACCGATCCCGAAATCTCCAAAACCTTAATCTCTAAAAGGTCGGCAACGCACTCGTAACTCCTCCGTTGCGGGTGTCCATGGGCGACGCCGATTGCTTTATTGCTTTATTATTTATAGGTATGCTCATTTGCCGACATTGAAACTAACCCAACGATGGACTTGGGAACTACTTAAACCTTATTTTAACACATTTACAAGATCTGATCAATAGTTTCAACTTTGAAAAATAGAAAAAAAAAACATCAACCGAATTCCTTCCACCTTAAACAAGACAGTCTCGCTTACCCAAAACCCATGGCCACCCCACACTAAGCGCACTTGATAAATGTTTATAGTCTGTTCCCACGCGATCTCAAAAACATTACACCCGTGTCCCGGGAAATATGTACCTACAACATGATACTCTTCTTTTTTGGCAATAGGTGTAAGTGGTTCTCTCTTGTTGATTTTAAAAAGATAGCAGTCTTATAAAATAACTCTTTGTAAACTGGTACTGTATTTTGTTTGAAAAGCTTTAAGGCTGATTTTTCAATGGTTAGATAAAAGTTATCTGCGGAATAATTATTATGCTGTCGCGTCAGAATGTAAGTATAACACCCGGTTTCTGAAAGGCTTGTCAACGCTGTTAAATCTCTTGTCATTTGATTGGTTGTTGATAATTCAGTCAACCAATCAGATTACTTGACAAGAGATTAAATTGATTTTAACATTGATCGGCCTTTCGGCAACCGGTTGTAAGACAGTGACAGCAACAATTTTATTGCTCAGATAAAATTTATCTGACTATTGAAAATCAGCCCTTAGTGGTTCAGGAAACCGGCGTGAAACAAACACAGCGTTGTTTCGCTATGTGACTCCCCATCCCTTCCCAATCCTTAAATATTCGAAACCCTTAGGCTGGCAATGCATGACTGACAAGCAGGTAATCAGCAAAATCTTGCATTTGTTTTTAAGTAAAGGTGTCCTAAAAATAGTAAACTAAATTTAAAAAATCTTTGTGTGTATTTGATACGACATATTAAAGAGAAATATATTAAGACATAGGTACCAAGTTTGCTTGCCAAACCTTGACAGACCATATATGCCCGGTTCCTATATTTAACGAATCGTCGTTGTATACGCATTACGACAAAATGACATTACGAATAGTTATCTTGACCGTCTACTGACGGTTAAAATATTTATAGGAACACCACAGACACCATAGATCTCCATACAATTCGCTTACCGACATCCGTTAGTTGCAAACCGTCAGTAAGTTGCACGACGAGACGTTTGTTATAGGAACGGTTTTAGCTTACGAGTCGTATATAAAACTACTATTCGTAACTAAAACGGATCGTTTCTCAATTATAGGAACCGGGCAATAGAAAGAACCACAGGAAAGAACCATAGAAACCTCACCTCTCAAGTTTGACGGAATACAATTGTCAATGTGATTTATTCAGTGTTACTAGTGTGCAATTGCTTGAAAAAGAAGTAGCAATAGGGTGCGTTATTTGAAGTCTAACACTCCCTCGGAAAGGGTGGGTGAAATCAGGTAGGTTCCTCACTTATTTAAAAACATTTGAAACAGTACACTTCAAACACATATTACTTCTAGCCTTCCTATGGACGCCGTAAGAACTACTACAAAAAAAACACAATAAATAATTATAATTCATAATTTTTATTCCCTCAACGGTCACATAAACCCTAAAAATAAACTCTACTAGAAATAATGCCGTTACAAAACGAATAATTATTTTAAAACAAATAACAAATACAATTCACATTTCTATTATTAAAAGAGACTACATAGCATCGGCAAATAATGAAAATAGATAAGCAGATGGCGGACATGAAAACTTTTTTGTGTAACCATCCTAAAGTACATTACCTAAGATTAAATATATGCCGTAAGACAAAGCCAACGCGCCGGGCCACACACGCTACTCATAAACATGAACTCTGGTACAATATCACTAGTAGTATCGTTTCTAAAATAGTTTATTGTTATATCTTGAGTGGTTACAAGCGATAGAATTAGCATGACAGTTTATTTAAAATCTAGCATGTAAGATCTTTTCAATTTTCTGTTCAGATCTTTAAAATTACTTAAATACTAAAAGCAAATGCAAAGTACCTACATCGTGAAATGTGATTTTGAAATTCCCTAAAAAGCAGCTATCATCATTAAATGTAACATTTCTGCATAACCTTAAATAGCAAATACTACCTATAGGCAAAACAAACTGCGTAAAAACCTGATGAAAGCAAAAAATTAGCAAAAATCTCAACCTAAGCTGGAAGAAAAGCATTGAAATGTGTTTCATTTTCCACTTCATTATGATCAAGTGGCATATTCATTTCCAAAATTCTTTGATTCCATAGCTTTTTGGAATCAATTATTCATTTTTGTCGTGCTAGACTCATACTGTGGGACCTTACTATTCTTGTGAACGTTTTTGGTAGCCGTTGCATGTTTTTTAGCATCAGCCACCGCTTTATAGTACACGTCCTTTAGGTTCCTTTTAGCTAATTTGTCATCCTTCCCAACCGTTTGCATGATCCGTTCATTGTTTTTAACCGTCACCCTTTTCATATCTGTAATTTGAACACCGTCGTAGAAGCTGGCTGTGGTTCTCGTGTGTTTCTTGCCAAAATTCTTGATAAATTTATGGAGTTTTCTCCGCAGTCTATTTCCTTTTGGTTGTTTCTTCTCTTTTGTATTTCTTTTGAGTCGCACTAGATTTTGTTTTTCGAAAAGCTGCAAAATAGAACATAATTACTGAATGAGATTGCGCTAAAATTTTCCTTCATTCTTGTTTTTTTTTCAGTTTCAGTGTGGGAAAGCCATCCTTTGGCAAGTGTGAGTCGGCTCAACCAATGTGATATTGCGGTTTCATAGAACATCGGGCGTGAAACAATCGCAGCTTTGTGCTTCGTCGTGTGAGTAAGATCCCTATCTCTAATATCTTATATCCCAAAAGACTGGCAACGCACCTGACTGCTACTGGTCTTGTCCAGCGCCGATTGCAGACCATCAGGTAATCTGTCTGCCGTCGTATCACACAAAAATATCATTTTTATAACTAACTTACCGAATACAAATCGTAACCAGCCATTTGTTTGTTTAAATATTTTAGCTGACTGTCAAGGTACGATTTTACACCCATCATTTTACTCTGAAACAAGAAAGCAGCAATCATTGAAAAATATGTGGTCATATATATATATAGCGTATGATGATCAAGTCATATTATCGAAAGGTTCTCATGTAAGAGGGTTTCAAAACCTTACAAGTACCAGTGTGTCTTTTTCAGAGTATTATTATTTACTTTCTAAGATAATTTAGACACCACTGCTATACGGTTAAAGAAAACATCGCAAGGAAGCCTGGACGTAGAGTTTTGTTTTCAAAGACTTCTTTGGAATTGCGACCCCTTTTTGAACAGATGCTCATTTCTTATTCGTGTGAGAAGAGGCATTTGCTTAGCAGTGTACACTTATAGGCCGGCGGTGATACAAATGAAGTTCATCATTTATTTGGAGACTATTTTTCCTGATATAATTAATTTAAAGTCCACATATCACAAAGGACTAACTAGAACATGGAGAGAATTAGTTTTTTAAATACCGCAATGGATTTTGGTTTCTGCTTCTTTTAAAAAAACGTGGTTTCACACTAAGATTTTTATTGTGGTTGCTTTCACGATGATACTATTTTACATAACTAAGCTGAAGAAGGAATAAGCGTTTTGCCTCGTTATTGATACCGCGTAGATCGAGGGATTGGAACAGTTTGCCGGCTGCAGTCTTTCCGTCCGAATATAATTTAGGTGTCTTCAAGGCTAGAGTGAATAGGCTCTTAATAAACTAGTGCGCCTTACCATCAACGATTGCATCACTGCTTACCATCAGGTGGGATCGCAGTCAAGCACTAGTTTATTGCAACTAAAAGAAAAGCTTAATTGAAAACCGCTGAGCAGTCTTCCTCTTTTTACACAGAGAAGAAATAGTACTCCATCTAGCAAAATCATATTTTTGTGCATCATCACCATCATCAATAGTTTACCTTATCGTCATCACTCATGCCATCATACTGGTCCATCAGGTCCTGCAGGGCATGGATACAGTCTAAGTAATGAGCCCTGATATCCATGATATTCTCTTCATTTAGTTGTTTCACTTCTGAAGCGTGTTCTTCTTCAAAATTTTCTGTAATCGTCAGCAAAGCGTGGAACAAAATTAGTTTTAAAACATCCTAATATTTGTAAATATAATTTTTCAGTTTTTTCTTTTGTGAGTAAGAGTAATGCTCTATCACGTATGGGCCAGTTTGGCTCGAGTTATACGACAGTCCAAAAGTCTGTCAACATACCCGTAAATCCTCTGATCTGGCGGGTTTTCATGTGCGGCGCCAATTGCTTACCATCAGGTAATCCGTCTGTCTGTTGCTGCCACACCTTAACCTTACCCACACTGGTATTTTTTCCTATGGCGTAAACAAAAATACACATCACACCCGGACACGGAACAACAATTTGAGGATCACATAGATTGTTGTTTGTCGCAAATACCGAACCCGCAACACCTTCCACGGCAGTCAGTTGCCCAGCCATTGCGCCAATAATGCAGTCATCAATATATAGAGAATGAATTGTCAAAAAAATATAGAGTAGTCAGTCAGTCGGTCCATTGCTGTGTGACTATATTACCACACCAAACTTAACAAGAGTCTGAACGCTATTCAAAAATATTTAAAACAAAACAGGAATGAAACCCACTATTAGAAACTGAAGCAAATAAGTCATCTCCATTTTCCGTTCGCGTTTCGGGCATCTGTTCCATGAGTTCTTCATCCTGGTATGGTGGTTTGAAGGTCAACGTTTCTGGTTGTGGATCTAAAGTCTCCTCTTTTGGGTAAGTCAGCCATTCCAAGAAATTTTGCAGGTCTTTTGGGAGTTCTGTGCAATAAAATACATGTCTTTTTAGGGCTCTACACTTGGATAAAATCGGGAAACCTATTCTAAAGGCATACCGCTGATTGTGATTTGTGCCACTAAGTTGCAATGAAGATATAGGAGAGTGAGCTCAATGCAGTGACGTGATAATACGGTGACTAATATTTGCAGCGTCATTGTCAGCCGAACTGTACATTACTATGAGAGTCTGCTCAGTTGTGACTTCAGGTTTCCTTGGGCAGCGCTGACCACTAACCATCAGATGATCCGAATGCTGGTTTGCCTTCTATTCCATAAAAACTCAGTTTCAGTAAGCGCATTGGATGGTTTCAGATGGCGCTCTTGCCACGGTAAACATTAGCTCCGCAACAAAAATTATTTAAAAATAGTAAAACTGATAAATACAACGTTTTTATTGACAATCTGGTGAAGTGATTCATAAACTACGGGATATTAATAATTGCAACAATAAAAGTTCACATCTACTTACGAAAACCAACAAAACAATAAAGTGATAGAAAACATTTAAATGGTGAAGTTTATGGCAGTAAAATACAACACAAATCATTAATCTAACAATGATCAAGAAATAATCTAAAGAAACCGGAGGATTACAGAAAAAGTGAGTGATTTTTATAAATAACACACTAAAGCAAACCGTTAACATAATTTAAAATCGAATACGTTTGCTTTGTTCTAAAATTGACCTTTGGACTGTGACTACGCTCGAGAAGTTTCATTTTATCCGCGCATTGAATAGAGTAACCTATTTCAAACTCAGTTATAATTACATGTTTGGCGGACTGGCTAAAGCAGCGCCTGCTAACAAGGAGTCACGAGTTCGCATCCGGATGACTGAAGTTGTTTTTGTACATAGAAATGTTGTTTTTTAGCGATCTGTGGTGAATGAAACAACTAACTCTAATAAATTATCATCATTCCATCATTTTTTTTTCTTTCTGATTGTTTTTTTTTTTATAAAATTTTATCAGAAAATTCATCCATATTTAACAACATTTTATAAGGATTAATTAATAAATATTAGTAAGCATCTATTGAGAAACGTACCTACAAGTATTTAAGTACGAGAATGGATCCGATAAATAATGTCACGATTAGAAGACATAAAACTATGACCAAATCAAGGTCTACTGAGTCAATAAATAACAGCATAAATACAAGCCCTCTATCATGTGATGATAATATATTAGTCAGAAGCTTAGACCTTTCCACTAATATATGCTCCACTATTGTGTCTGACCTCAAGGACGAAATTAGAGATCTAAAGAATAATTTAGAAAGTACGCAACATGAAATGGAAAATGTCATTCTAGAAAACATAGACTTGAAAAAGGAAATAAAAAATATACAGCAAGAGTTAAACGTTTTAAGGCAATTATGTAGAAGCCCTTTGACTACTTTTCGACACAACATGTCTTCAAGCATGAAAAAAACTGTACGTCGTCGCCTTACAAACAGCTTTCAAATATCTCCTCTGAAACTTAACGAAAGTAATACGACCATATCTACGGCCCTGGACAAAGTAAGTACCAGTCAAGCAGAAACTTACATAATTGCTAGACAGTCGGACAAGAAAACAGAGGCTCAACAAGTCATCGCAACAAATTTCCCTCAACAACAAGAAGTCGAGACAGTTCAAGAACCCAAAAACAACTTACTTTCACCCATCATAACGAAACCGAAATTAATATCAAGTAGACCAGAGACTCAAAATATTAATAAAAGACAAAAGCAGGAAAAAAGGGCATTTATAGTGGGAGGTAGACAATGCAGGGGATTAGCATCACAGCTTTGTAAATCCAGACTCAATAATACCTATAATGATTATCGTTTTCTATCTATTATTAAACCAAATGCCTCTACAGAAGAAATATTGACGAGTATTAAACTATTTGACATTACCCCCGATGACAAATTAATTATATCTATAGGACAAAATGACACAAATACATTAAAAATGACTACAGAACTTGTTCTGTTTTTAGAATCGATTGAATGTCCGGTACTCATCATTAATGTGAGTAGAAACATTTGTTCCATTGAATCCAAATTGAATAAAATGCTCGAACTTATTTGTAGACAGAGGAAGAAGTGTGCTTTCATATATAATTATAATAACATTACATCATTATGTTATAAAATAAATTCAGCGATAGACCAACTAGACTACGATGAAACATTTTTGCAGTTTAGTAAAAATACCCAAAACAGACCGGGAACGAGTATGGCACGTACGAAACATCAAAGTACTCAAACATACAGTAGCTCTCTTAATCACAATTTAAATGATGCTTCACATGATATTGGCACTTTAGAAGTATCGGCAAAAGAAACGTTTTTTCGAGGCTAAACAAAGTTATAACCACGTCGTATTCCACCAAAATATTGCTGTTGCCATTAATAAATCTGATGACATTGAAATAGCAATAAATCTGCTAAGGGATAAAAATTGCATAGTCGATTTTATTTGCCTAACTGAGACTTTTATCAAATCCGGGGACGAAGAAAACTTAAAAATAAATGCTTTTAAATTAGTTAGTACCTTTTCTAGGAAAGACCAGAAACGCGGGGGTGTTTGCATATTAATAAGGCAAAATATTGAATACGAACGCATTGAATGGCTAGAAAACATGACATTAGAAAAACACTTCGAAATATGCGGAGTACGTCTAAAAAAATATAACATTAATTTACTGTGTGTATATAGAACACCTAATTCAGATTTAAATATTTTCTTAAGAAAAATACAAATATTACTCAATAAACTTCATGATAAAGAGCATTACAAGAACATAATATGTGGAGACTTTAACATTGACATTTTGAATAATACAAAACATAAAAACGAATTTATTAATATCCTATACAACTATAACTTTAAACCGTACATAACTCAACCTACTAGACAAAACACTTGTATTGACAATATAATTAGTGACATTAAACATTCTAAAGGAGAAGTACACGAATTGGGACTATCAGACCATAACACAGGTCAAACACTGACAATTAATAGTAAAAATAAATTAGAACAAAGTCTAAATAAATATTGGTTTGTTTCAAAAAGAGACCTATGCAAAGATAACCTAGACAAGTTCCGCTATTACATCAGTAATTTATCTTTCTCAAATGTTTTCCAGGAAACTGATGTTAATAAGGCTTTTACATTATTCCACAATGAAATCTGTTTGTTTTTTAATTTGTGCTTCCCTTTTATAAAAATCAAAGTGAACCAAAATTCTAAAAACCCTAAATGGATTACTAAAGGTCTAAAAAAATCTTTTGCCACAAAGCGTAAACTCCAATACGAATATTATAAAAACAAAAGCAGTCAAAATAAGAAAAAATACGCATCTTACTGTAAAATATTGAGAAATTGTGTCATAAATACGCAAAATAGGAAAAATAAAAAATATATAGAAAAAGCCGAAAATAAATGTAGAGCCACATGGAAAATTATCAATGACAGACTGAAAGGTGATCACCAATCGAACGAAATTAGGGAAATTATGAATGGTGAACAAACGATAAAGAATGGTGCCGATATTGCTACACATTTTAATGATTTTTTTATAAACATTGCAAAACCAAACATGGTTATACAGTCTACAAATAAACCAATTTGTGGGGCAAGGGTTGCAAATTCTATCTTTCTTAAACCTGTAGATTCTGCTGAAATTTATAAGTTAGTAATGGGGTTGAGAAATACTAATTCGGCGGGGTACGATGGTATTACAACTAGAATATTGAAAGAAAACATCTTGGCATTATTAAAACCATTGGATTACTTAATAAACTTATCCATGGAAAAAGGTATTTTCCCTGAAGCACTCAAACTGTCAGTTGTTATACCACTCCATAAAAAGGGCTCGAGAATGGATGCAGGTAACTATAGACCAATTACTTTAATTCCAATCTTCTCCAAGATATTCGAGAAAGTAATGTGCATAAGACTGACTAAGTTTTTTGAAAAAAATGATATAATATGCCAACAGCAAAACAGTTTTATTAAAAATAAGTCTACCACTCTAGCAGGTTATAAATTAGTCAAAGAAATTCTCAGTGCTTTAGACAGAAAACAGGTTCCAATAGCCGTCTTCCTCGATATGAGTAAAGCTTTCGATATGGTATGTCACGAAAAGCTGCTTTATAAACTGGAACAGTACGGCGTAAGAGGTCCAGCCTACAATTGGTTCGATACCTACCTTCAGGGTCGAAAACAGTGCACCGATATAGTTAAAATGTGCCCAAAATCTAACAACTACGTAACATATAGATCTGAATACAAAGTTAACAAAAGTGGTGTGCCACAAGGGACTGGAATCTCTCCATTGTTATTCTTAACATACATCAACTCCCTGCCTGATTCAACTGACCAATACACCATTCTATTCGCAGACGACACCACTATTTTGACCAAAGAGGACACTGTGGAAAAAGCAGAGAACGCCACAAATAGAGCTCTAGAAAGCATACATGACTGGTTAAATCAAAATAATCTACAAATAAATACAGATAAAACCAAATTTATGACATTTAGTACGTATAATACCAAATCAAAATCGAATGACACAGTTGACATAAAAATAAAATACAATAATAATAACATTGAAGAAGTAAATAATATTAAATTTTTAGGTAATTTTGATAAATTTTGCAATTGGAAATCACATGTAGATATAGTATGTAAAAAAATCAATAAATTTATATATGCACTAAGAAGAATAAAAAAAATAACAAATGTTCAAACAGCACTACTGGTATACCACAGTCACGTATGCTCTGTATTGAGATATGGGATAGTCATCTGGGGAAACTCCACAGATGCACAAAGAGCATTTATAGCTCAAAAAAAATGTCTCAGAGCGATTTATAATCTAAACTGGACTGACTCCTGCAAACTGGTTTTTAAAAATAACAATTTACTCACATTTCCATCACTATACATTTTTGAAATGTGTAAATTCGTTCGAAATCATTCATCGCTCTTTGAAAAGGATGATAACGCCCTCTCAAATAGGAAAATTAGGCAAAAGCCGCTAGTAGTGCCGCGAAATCGTCTTAAGCTGTGTGAAAAAAATTGCTCCGCGATGGCAGTTAAGCTATTTAATAACCTTCCGGATTCAATAAGAAAACTGAATGATTTAGAATTTAGTAGAACACTTTTTCGATGGCTATGTGACAAATGTTTTTATTCGATTGATGATTTTATAAATTTGAAATCGTTCTGACATTTCATAAGTCCTAATAATAAAAATAAATTGACTTTCATAATATTAATAATACTTTCGAATTTTAAATTGATGTAATTATGTATCAATATATGAAATTAATTCGCTATTTAATATGACAACGCTAACAATTTATCTCTTTTTTAATAATTGTGTATGTAATGCATTTTTAAATATTAATATTGTTTTGACCCAGTTGTCACAAATATTTGCACGACTTGATGTACGAGTATGTCGAATATAGTGAAACTCTAAAATTGTCGATCACCATGTATAACCTATATTCTAGCAAATAAAGTTTTCATTCATTCATTCATTCATTCATTCATTCATTCATTTTCATTCATTCATTCATTGTGAGTGAGAGATACAAAAGTCAAGGTCACGAAAAATCGCAATCAGTGGCGTGCATAAGACTCTTCTATCCATTCGTCTGTCAGTTTGTCTAACCAAGCTTATTATTGTCAAGCTATCTCATGAATCTAAGATATAGCTTATAATTGTGACTGACTAACAGACAAGCTACAGCGTAATTCCAAAAATTTACAGCTGTCAATTCAAAACTATTAAAATCGAATTTTAAAGAGTAGTAAAAAGCCTTGACGGGTATGATGAGGTCTCCTTTTGTGCTAAAATATAGATATAAAGAAAAAGCTAACGTGAGCAAGTTTTCTGTTGGACCTGGTAATCCACCAGGTCAGTTAGAAGACGGACCAGCTGTTGCATCAGTGCGGATGCCATTGATCCCTCTCTAGAATCTGATTTATTGGCTGAAATAAAAATTATTAAGGTGAGTTGTTATACAACGGAGTGTGACACTTTTCGAATTTGTACATTCTAAGATTATTTAGACACCACTGGCCATACGGTGAATGAAAATATGGAAAGAAAAGCCATTGTAGACTCGTAATTTCACAACAAGTTGAGCAAGCTTTGGTAATTAACAATCATTCCTTCTCGGTAATGAAAAGAGGCAATTTCTCAACAGTGGAATCAGGTTATTTAAGCATTTGGCTGTTAGCAGACCAGAGAGGTAAGTGATGATCACAGCCCTTCGAAGAACACAGACTTCCACTCCTTAGCGATTCTGACATGAAACTGGAGGCGAACCACAAGGATGTCTTTTAAATTTACTTCAACTATAAACACAAAACAAGTTTTTAACCAGAATTATTCATCTTTCCATGTTCAGACGGTGCATTCGAATTCCTAGTCTGCTGAACCGCCTTCGCCGCCATCTTGCAGACATCCTTCATATTTGCCGTCAACGCCAAGAAAATCGATTTCTGATCTGCGTCAAGATCATCCTGAAAGCAGATATCTTATTTAGAGGCTCCTACCTTATTGGTTCGTTTTCATAGCAATTTACACCCACACTTATAAGTCGTTATTAATTGTAGAGACAAATTCACACGGACGTCGGCTTTGGTTCTATGAGGTGCGCGCCAAACGCAACACGCTACGCGTTTGGGTCTAGTTTTAGGTCGGATGGCGAGCTACACTTCTTTCATCCGATGTCGTGCTAACTAGTGTTTGTGTAACGACCGAGGGTCGCAAAACTTCCCAAATAAAAGTAACTTTCTGTGTGTGTTGTAATGTTACATTTTCTTGCCATAAAATGTGTTGAGCTACTCACATCATCCTTTTTCTCCGTCTCTCTCCGATCAACACGATTTTTATAAATTTTTTCGTAGACATTTTTCTTATACGTTGGCATTCTGTAATTAATATTTGTGTCATCATTTTATTTATATTTATTCTCATGCTTATAGATGTGTCTTAATTTTAGATACAGTATTTGTATTTATTTAGTATCTGTATTTAGTATTTAAGAGAACAACTTTTTTTTTGATAGGGGAAAACCTTTCAAAATCCCCCGCCTTTCCTACTCCTGTGTGCTCGCTCCTCGCTGTGCCTCATTGCGCTTACCCCGCAACCCCGGCTGAACATCAGCCCTATAGAGCCCCGTCTGTTCTGGTCTATTGGCTCTTTAGGGCGCGCGTGGTACACTACGCGTCGTACATTCAGGGGATCCGGGTCTACAACTGGTTGGACTTCAACTCTAAAAAGTTTAGTATGCACTTACTCATCATTCTTCACTGATCTAGGAACCCTTTCCTTGGCCTCCGTGTCTCCAGAGTGGACGATGGGCGCAGAAAACGAAAGCGGATTGATTTTCAAATTCTCAGCAAACTTTTTTATTTTCTCATGTACCCATCTGCCTGCAAGCAAGTACTTTTATAATTATCTAGCAAAATTCTGATCAGAAACTAGTCATTCAGTAACTCTAAAAGAATAATGGGGTATACATATCATGCATTTTTGAAATGTATCTCTTAAATAAATTCTGAAGTCTGTACCCTTACCTGATTTTTTAATAAAGTCATTCTCTTTAACCGAATGCTTATCCCTAACAGAATTATCCAAATTGTCAGCTGGCACACCGTACTCATCATCGTCATACATATCATTCCAAAATATTAAATTACTATCTTCAGCATTCCTTTTGAAGATCGCTTTGGCTTTAGGTTTTTTCTTTTTGTTTTTTTCTGGTGCACTGGTTTTCAGATTGGCTTTCTTTTTCGGCGTTGTTATGTTATTGTTGAGGTCTAGAATTGGTGTGGTCGGGCTTGTGGAGTTGGTGACTGCAACAATATTTAGTACTTCATTTGATTTTGACTTGCCTACGTTGGGCACGTTCAATAAAGCATTAGGAAGGTAAATGATAACGTTAATATTTGAACCTCTAAACTGTGGTTCGATGCTGCGACGAGAAATATAACTTATACAATCTTTTGTTCTTGTGAATATTGGCAAGTACTTGAATCTAGTTTTTTATAATCTAAAGTAAATTTTGCAGTTACATGTTAAAGTTTTGTATGAGTAACAAGGAAGATTATTTCATCCTATTCGAAGTAGTTATTGGTAATAATCCACTGGTACGTTAAAAACAAGGATAGCTACATTTCACATTGATCGGTGACACTCAAGTGCGCTGTAACTTATACACTTAAATTCTTTTCATATAAATATTACTATATTAAACGACTAAAAAAGACACATTCTTTGATACAGACAAACAGTTTAAACGAAACTAAAATTTAAAGGGTTGAACATACCTACCATTACCACCAGAGAATTTGATGTCAGAAACAGTAGCATTTGAAGTGGCCTTTATATTTTTTTCAGTGACGTTGGCTGGTTTTTCATCAATCGATAGAAGGGCCCTGGACTTAAAGCGACCGACACTGGTGATGTTACTAGTATTCTCATTATTATCAGCATCGTAGAGGGGATAGATAGAATCAGTAGTGGTGATATTGGGTTCAGTGGAAGAATTTGCTGCTCTAAGTATTTCGTTTATATCAGATCTGAAAAACAAGAAGTTCAACTTCTAAATGCATCTGAAAATTGTTCTGCATAGATGGAAATTTCACAACCGATTTGCTTAAGCAAAGACCTGAATGACTAGATGTTTGATTGAAACGATGAATTATTAGATCCCAGTCACACGCGCTAAGTAATTTGCCTCCAGTTTTTTCAAAAAAACCTTAGTGATTGTAATGAAGATATGATTTCTTTGCCGGATTACCCACACGGAAAAAGTGTTTGTGTGACCCAAAAAAATTAGTTCCGGGTCTGGGTGTGATATGTATGTGAAATTGTATATTTGTAAAAGCGCCGACGACACAAGAGAAGATGCTAGTGTGGGGTGTATAAACGTTTTTTTAGGAAAAAAACAAAAACAGAAAAAATAATTAAAATAAAAACGCACTCACATATTACAGGCTTGCCTTGGTTTATCCGCCTTCAAACCTTCAATAGCTTTAAACCAATCAGATACCAAAGCAAAGAAATCACTTAACGTCATATTATCCGAATCAAATGTGCTGTTCAGTGACCGTTGAGACAACACAGAAACGTTTCTGTTACTATAATTAGCTGTATTAAGAGCCATCGGGGTCGTCGTTTCAGTAACACTATTATCAATCCATGTAGCAGTTAGATTGCTAAAAGTCTTACTTCTTTTAACTAGAGTTCTGTTCTTGAACTTTCTTTCAAAATCTGAGCCACCAAAGAACTGTAGTTTCGTCTCGTTAGCCCTTACAGTTGCTTCTGGGAATGCATCGAATTGATTGTCAGTATTAGGAAACTTTAAGCTTTCATTCATCATCAGTGGTTCTTCATTCAAGTTCAAGATTAGAGGAACATCGAAAATTAAGTTCATACCTTCCATTCCAAAGGTAGGATTACCTATTGTCAGCATTATGTTCCCTAGATAATTGTTACCAGCGGTATCATCGTCCATTTTGAATTCGCTTTTGTTCATACTTATGATTGAGTCTGTCATCATCGTTACCATCGGTTTAAATGATTGTGTACTAGTATCAACTGTTACTAGAGTAGACTCTTCCTCAACAGGAGGCGTAGCACTAACACTATGGAAATCAGGATGAGCAGTGCTAAAGATCCTTATATTTTTCTGTTTAACATTTTCGATATAGTGAGCAAGTGCTTTCTTATTAGCCGCACTATTTGATTTAATATCTAAATCCTGGACGAAGCTATCGATATTGTTTTCTAGAAATTCCGGACTTGTTGTAGTTTCTTCGCTACGATAGGTCTCGGAAACTTCGAAGTTGGAAGATAGAAGAGTTCTTTTGCTTTTAGAAAGAGAGAATATTAGACCGTTATCTGTTTCATCTATTATAGGAGTGGTGGTTGTTACTTCTGTTGTAGAGATATTGTATTGTCCACCTTTATTTAGTTGAGCAAATTCTAAGCCTGGGTACGAAAATTTCAATGTGGGTGGTGTCGTTCGTATCTCAAGAGGCGTGTTTGCCTTTGTGTTAGATTTAAACTGCAGATGTTTGGAGAAGATATTAAACAAACTGACTCCTTCATTTCTTACTTTGCTGGGAGGTCTTTTTTTCATTTGGACGCGTAAGCCTTCAGTGTAGGGGTTGCTGTAGGAGCTCGCTAAAATTGCATTACTGGCGATAATTGTCTGCTCTGGTGAAAATATTTATGATATACGTTACATACATACGTCTGCTGCACTTTTAGTCAGAAATATTATGAAAATAAAAAACAGTTTCAATATAAGATAGAATATTACTCGACAACTTCAAAATTTTGCCACATAGTGTTTCGTTGTCCCGTTCTACATAAACAATATATATATACTTAATGGAAGCCTATATTTTATTATATGATATGATGGATATGATACAGATGTACAAGCCTTGATTATGAGCGTAGTGAAACGCCTTGAACATCGGCTGTTGTACTTAGTCATTACGAGGAAGAGTATGACACCAAAAATGCCCAGTACGGCAGTATAGGTTAAACTGGTCGGTAGACACGTTGTTATAAATTTCACTACCAAAAATCAAAACTTCCGTTCTTTGCTATGCGACTAGGGTATATAATTCTATGTTATTGTTTATAAACAGTATTATAATGTTATGAGAAAGTTACAAACCAAAACTTTTTGAGACATCATTGAAATAAACGTCCCTCTCTCTCCTGATGCTCCTCTCGCTTGTCATAGTCTCTGGAAGTCTACCTTTAACGAGAGGAACATATTAGATTAGGTAGTAGTCTGTTCTTGTTATACGCAAACCATGAGAATGCACGGCCCGGGGATTAAACGAAAACTGACGAGCCACCATTAGAGAAAAAGTGCTCAAACCTTCAAATACTCGATCATGACATATAACACTGCGATTCCTCGATTTTCAAATCAGAAAACTCACATATAGGTCTATTGCAGATAAATAAACTGCCAAACCCTAAGGTGCTTCAAGAAAATAAAAAACATTGGCAAAAGGATCATTATTTAAATCCTATTTATGTTTAGTAAAGTTAATTTATTGCACAATTAGCCGTGCAACAGGGCGTGAGACAACAATATCTCACGATTAGTCGTATAACCACTTCAAAAGACACCAGCACAAGTAAATTGATTACATAATTTTTTTTATGGAATAGGTCGACGATCTTGTAGACAGGTTACCTGACGGTAAGCAATCGATGCCGCCCATGGACACTCGTTATACCAAAGAAGTAACTACAAGTGTCAGGCTTAAATTTATTAAAAATAGATTGGTATGGATTTAAGGATAGGTGATTTGGGGATTGGGGATTGAGGATAGGTGGAGGAGAACAAAGCCTTCTGCAATTTCATTCACGGCGTAACATAGCTCATACTTTGTTTCACGTGTCGTGGTATTACTCCAGTCGAGCTGACCCTTTAGCGCCCAAGCATGGTTCTCCCAAACATAGATGATATTGGATTGGTCGAAATTAAACAAAATAAAAAGAAATTACCTGATCTCAGACTTTCAACAAGATTGGGACCATAAACGTTGTCCTCGGCAGAAAGCTTTATTCTTCTATCAGTGGCTGTGTCATCTGAGTTCTTTTCATTTCTCGCGTCTTTCTTACCATCTAAAACTCCATAATCACTGTATGCTTGTGCCATTTCTACTAGTTTATCATATTTGTTTTTAAAATATTCATCTCCATATTCCACGTCAGACGTATCCCGTCCTTTCCTTTCAAAAAATGATTTCCTTGATAGTTTACGCTTTGCAGGTCCCGAAATCTTTTTCTGGATGAAAAAAATATTGTATTATTAGTTTTCTAGTGCAGCCTTCCCGCGTTAACTTCTCTAGTCACTTTTTTGTTAACTTTTCTGAGCCATATGTACTTACTAATTTTATTGAGACAATGGACATACGGTAACGTTAACGTCGTAATAAAATCTGGACTTTCTAATCATAAGTTTTAAATTTCCAATGCTCATTCCTCCTAATATGAGCAAAGCAGGCTAACTAAGTTAAAAGTCAAAAGTTCATCATCATCATCAGCCGGAAAGCGTCCACTGCTGGACAAAGGCCACCTCCTTGTCATAAAAAAAGGAGGGGGATTGCACTAATCCCCACGCTTGGCGGGCGGCTTGGGGATCGCAGTTAGGTCACTGAAATATGGATGGTATACTGCTGCCTATTCCTCAGTGTCTGGTCGCTGTTTATGATTTAAAATATCAATGACTTTCATTTTATACCTTAGTGTCTTGACTGGTATCAGGGGGTTCATGCTTCATCATGGAGGACAGCTCATCCGGATATAAAGGCATCGGGCCCTTCCAGTTAGGATTATGGACACCTGGTGGATTGTACTTTATGGATTTTTCTGTTGGTAATTGTAATTTATCCTGTAAGTTAAAATTATTATTATTATTTACAGCGTTGGATAAAAATGACCAGATTGATTGATGGTAAGCAATTGACGTTGCCCTAGGATACACACAAAGACTTAAGTGCTTAACCGGCCAGACAAAAAAACAAAGCAAGCGTTGTAAAACACTGGAGCCTGTGAGGTCCGGAGGTAATGGAACTACTCCGGTCAAGCCGTCCGAGACTCGGCGAACAATCATTGTTTTCGCTCTTCCCTAAATATTTTTAAAATTAACCAAAATATTCGTGCAATGCGTTAAGTACATTACCAATATCAACCACCAAACTTTTAATTACTTGAACCACGCTTTGAAGCCCTCCTGTTTCACAATATCTGAATATATACTAGGGCTCGCTTTTATCGCAGCAGTAAGCTTCTTCTTTTGATGAGTAGCTAGAGAGATGCTACGGCAACTTCACGTAGGTGCTTACCGAACACAAAAGTTTCCAGAGATACCTCTTTCAGATACTTCTGGAGGAATACTCGTCCGTCATCATTGCGAGGACCTAATTTGTCTGTACTATGTGCCACTTTTCTTTTTGAATTGCAATTATCGTGAGACGTACTAAGTTTATTGTAAAATAACTGGACGCAGCCGATAGTCGTCTGCGCGAAGTGGCTACGTCAAGCACAATACTTTTAAAGAGACTCGTTGTGACTTTAAACTCTAGTAGTTATTTGTCAATATATTTAGCAGATGTTTATATGGAGGTACTGAACGTTTGTATAGGAAAGCGTAATGATGTTGCGCTATTCCCAAAGGTGTTGCAGAGGTGTGGATATAAAATGTGGCATCCACTTTTCGCCCAATTCTGTTATGAACTCCATTTTATTTATAGGTTTTGAAGCTTAGAAGGAGAGCCCGCAGCAATAGTTTGATTGTTAAGGAACTTTCTAAAAACATTACTCAACCCTTTCTTACCCAAGACTACTAAATAGAAATTCCTTCATGAGACCACTTGAATAAAAATCACAATCACACATACCTCCGTCCTTTTCTTTCTATCAACAGTTTTATCCATCTCATCATGGTTCTCCATATCATCCCTTAGAACTTCTTTGAAGTCTTCGTAACCAAGGTTTTCATCTTCTTCGTTTTCCAGCTGCATCAGCCGGCGTAGATTGGGTATTTTCGCTAGAATCTGAGCTCTGTCCGAATGGGGGGATGACGGCGCTTTGGTCCTCTGCATATCAGGGTTCCTGTCAGGAGAACTGTCTTTTCAATAACATACTGTTATTAACACGTATTTTAGTGATATAAGAATAAACCAGATATTTAGATGCAATAGAAACAAGAACATGTCTGTGAAGAAATTATTGTGTTTAAATGAAATTATATCAGGAGTTTTTCATGATAATTAACGTCACTATCGATATGTTGCAGTCAGAAGTTTTCTGTTACGTCTTCCGATACACACACAGCTAACAGCCCCGGTAAGGCTTGAAACTAATCGAGTATCCTTCAATAGTTTGTAGCTACCCAACTACTACAATTAGTAAGATCAAAAATCTTTTTCACGCCTATGAGCAACCTCTTGATCTACCTAAAGTTACAGACTAATAATTTCCTAAAATATACTAACATTATGGTGGATACACTTAATAGCACTTCGAAGTCATTGGGACTGGTCTTGACTGTCACAATCTTTTGTTTATCCTTTCCTACCATCTGCGCTTCATGGTGGTAGAATTCCTTCTCGTACTCTGTAGTAGACTCTGGTTTTAGCATCTTTAGAAGATCAGCCTGCGACTCCATCTTCTCTTCTTTAAAAATGTTTGTTTTCTGTTTCGGTTTCGGTATCTGGTCTACGACAATAGGCTCATTTCCAATTATATTGACATTTTTATGAGGTTTCGGATGCTTGCATGCCTTATTAGGATCATTTTTGAATAGCATGTCCAAGCCGAATGGATCAGACATGATTTCTGGTAGGTTTTTGTTTAAAAACCTGTCCAAAAGTTCGTCTAATCTTTGGGTGTTTTTGTAAAATGGATGCTTTAGTTGATGCTCGTGGGTGTGTGAGTCTTTTGGGGCGTGTGAGCATTTTTTTACTGGGACTTTCTTTCTGTCAACTGGCTTGTATTGTACTAGAAGCTTCTTCTTTTCAATGACAAACCCTGTCGGTTCGTCAGAATCATTGCCAAATCTTTTCAACCGACTCCTGTTCATGGCTCGCCTCGTCATGTAAGGACTTTCATGGCTTTTGTTTAGAAGAGATCGTCTATGCCTCATGAAGTGCAATTTCTTTGGATAGTGGTAAAGTTTCAATGATCTCTTTGACCTGTCTGGCATTTTTTGTAAGTCATCGTCTAGGTAATGCATCTCAACTTGATTGAGGCGTTTCAGATTTTTTATTTTGGCGTCAGTTTGAACAAGTTTCTTGTAGAATTCTGAAAGTAATCATTTTGTTAGATTTTGGCTAATATTGTTTGAATAGACATCATATTTTTTAGTTTTTAAGGACCCCCCATTAGAACTACAAAATAGCCTCAAGTAGGGACTGCCTTAACTATAGACATTTAATGATTACTTTAACTATTTTTAGTGACGTTTTTGTTTGGAAAACGAATATTATTTGATGTGTAGCTCTGTCTTTGAGAGCCACGCAAGCGCCTAGTAGACAAAAAAGAGCCAGATTTTATTTTACCCTCACCTATTATTATGACCATGCTTCGACGCTTATTCCTTGTTTCAAGCGTCTTACAAGTAGTCATGTTTTTTTTCTAGTCTTTTCTTTATTTATTCTTTCATTATTTCTTTCGTTCTTTATTTCTTTTTTTCCCTCCCTGTCTTTTCGGTCTATCGAAAGGGTATCGGGGTCAAGGTGTAGTTTTATATTGATACCTACGTATAAATGTCTGCTTACCCCGAAGTTTACCACTACCCTGGAGCTCGCTGTTCTTATCAGCATCAAGGACGTTACTCCAGTCGACATCACCCAACATTTTGCTGTCAGACTCATCCAGAGAATTCTGAAAACAAAATTAAAGGTGAATATTTTTAACCACCGTGTCACACAAACCCCTAGTGAGCTATCTACAAATTAATGTTTTGTGTTTAATTTTATGTTTTAATAACAAAATTTGAAGTCAGAATTTATATACATATATGTTTATTAGACATGCAACAACGGGGATATAGTTTTATAGTGCATATTTAATATTTCGATCAATATGATCTGAGTTAAGTATTAGAGTGGCGACTAAGGACCCGAAAACTTAGCGTGGGCAGGCCTCTCGCTGGGAGTCGTAAAAGTAAGAATTGTGGGAATCTGAAAACCTTACTGACACAGCGAAAGACAATGCAAGCGTTAATTCATGCCGTTTTTCACTGAGGTTGTTCTATTACTCCGGTCAAAAGCCCATCTCCAATTCGATTAAGAATCCGGTAACGTCACTTGCACAGATTATAATCCCAACTTATATTATAATACTCTATATCTGATTTTTTGAATGACAAGTCAATTAAGTGAACAGTGTTTTTGTACTTATATTAAATTAATATAGTATTATGTGATGCCTAGATTATATTTTTTTTTATAGTATAAGTAATATTTTTTGCATGCCATTTAGGCAGAATGTATACGGGTCAAATAAAATTGTAACACCTTTATTTTTAAAATTACCTACATTTTATGCAAATAAATAAATCTATTCTATTCTATTCTAAATGAGAAAGCAACTCTGTCTGTCTGTCTTTTCTTCACACCTACACTACTGAACCTATTTGTGTGAGATTTGGTACAGACATAGTTTAGAACTCGAGAAAAGACATAGGATAGTTTTAAAACCAAAAATCTGCAGAAAGTCACTGTTCCACGCGAACAAAGTCGCGGGCAAAAGTTATGAAAGTCACTGCACAAAAATTGTTTCAAGCCGGTTTTCTGTGAGGTTGTGCTATCACTCCGAACTAGCCAGTCTGTTTGTGCCAAAGACTCTCCCACATTTAAAAGACAGTATCTAATAAAATATTATTATGGAAATAATCAATGCCTTGTTAATACCATATTCTAAGAAAACGCACCTGTGACCACAAACCTTACGTCTCCCAAGAAAATCGCCAAATTTTCTTCAACCGACTAATTTATAAGTCGACCAATTAACCCTTCAAGTGCTGGGCGACCATTAGCACTCTAAAAGGGGTACTTTGCGATATTAACCCTTAACAATAAATATGTCGGGGGTATATTTAAAAGTGCCCAGGTGTTGGCCGGGACAGGTTGAATTACTGTTCCGTTTATAGGCGCTTCTGGGGGTTAACTATGTTTGTGGCAGGGAGTATGGTTGGATGGAGTGTTAGTTACTTATGTGTATGGTTTTTACACTTTTTTCAAATTTCATGTAATGTAGCAAAATAAACTCAATTGACTAACAATTTAAATGTTATTTGTAATACAGTTTTGATCTATAATTAAACATCTACATATATAAAAATGTTTATAAAAACTACTACTACTACTATTCTTTTTTTTGTTATTTTTTTTTGTACGTTTTTTTTTTTGTAAGCAGCGCCTAACAAAAAAAAACTTTTGTTTTGTTTGTTATTATCGAGAGAAAGTTCTTATGAAAGAAACATTTAAAATAGTAGGCGGGAAAATTTTCCTTTGGAAAAAGCGATCCTTTCTGAGCGAAGCGTCTTTTGTAGTGAAGTAGTACGTAACCCGTGCGAAGTAAGGTCAAATTATTCATTGCAAATAGACCTTTATATATTAGGCAACTTTTTACGTCAAACTAAATAATTAGGTAAATAGCAAATTGACCAACTTTCGGTGTGTTAAACACAAACTGTTAATCTATTGTCCTAATGAAGAGGGAATGAGCAAGAAACTTCATAGTTAGGTACGTTTTTTCAATCAGTTTCACAATTATTTTTTTTTTTGTTACAGACCAATGATTTTTAGTCTGTAAAAGTCTGTCACACCCTCTCGCCCCATCCAGTACAAGAAAGCAGTTTGATTATTTAAAAAATAAAACCTTGTAATAAAAATAAAATGTTCTCAGTGAGCCCTCCATTGATACATAATCCATGTTCTCAGTGACTTACTTTTAAATAGCAATTTGCGTTCGCGACAGTTCAGAGTAATATTAAAATAAGAACTGTACTGCGGTGTGTTTGTTGATACAGGTAAAGGAAAATATTTAACTGCACGCTTGATGCGGTGGCTGGGTTCAAATGGATCGGATACAAGACGAAGAGATAAAAAGGTGATGAGGGACATGCCCTCCGTAATAGCAAAACAGGAGTGCAAATAGGCTGGTGACAACACGTATGAAGACAAACAAGTTCGTTTCCCGCACGAATCTTTGTGTGATCCACAAATTATTGTTCCGGCTGGGTGTGATGTGAATGTGAAATTGTATTTATATAAACGCACACACGACACAGGTTAAAATGAGAGGACGAGGCGAGGTTCTTTTAAAAATCAGAAAAATCTAAATCTTACTTATTTTTCGTTTATGATGTGAATTAAGTAATTTAATATTAATTCATAAGCTAGTAATAGTCATTGCAACGCCATTAATTAAAAAGGTCATTAAGCTGTGCCTGATACTTTAATTTAAGATCCTTGTACCTACCTTAACATGCAAATAAAGAATTTGAATTTGATATTAATACCTAAGAAAAAAAGAAAATATGTAATACGGAAACAAAATATATATAAATATGTATAAATGTGGACGGATGGAGAGGGACAGGGAGATCAAAGAAAATATGGATGGATTGTGTGAGAAGTGATATGGAAGACAGAGGAGTTAGCGATAGCGTGACGAGTGACAGGACAGAATGGAAGAAAAAAACATATTGCGCCGACCCCAAATAAAACGGGACAAGGGCAGGAAGATGATGATGTAATACGGAAACAAACGGGCCGACGGATGACCTGATGTTAAGCAATCGGCGCCATTCATGGATAAACATAGAGAAGGTGCAAGTAAGTTGCTGGCTTTTGGGAGAATCTGGGCTTCTGTTCACTACTCGTATAAATTACAATTGATTTTGGTTCATCAAAAATATTTTCTGTAAGTAAAACTGTAGTTTCTAGTACCTACTTTTATTGAACTGTCCTAACTTTTTACTTTTTTAAGGACTTAGTCCATATACATAGTCCTAGCAACATATGAAGTCATATGGTTTTTAAAAGAGATTGACCTTGACTTTGTTTCGGCGTTTCCTCTGAGAGTAGTAAATGTAAGCTTCATCAAGATGTTTTTTTGTTTCATGTTGACCAGTAAAAGTGCTGTCTTATGTAAAAAAAAAACATAATAATATCATTGTTTCATCGCATTTTTGCGTCAATTAGAATAGTAGGTAGATATTTATTGCAATTCACACAGAAAACCGGCGTGAAACAACCACAGCGTTGTGTTTCGCCGTGTGAGTGACCCTTCCCCAATTCCTAAATCTCCAAATCCCTAATCCCTAAAAGGTCGGCAACGCACTCGTAACTCCTCCGTTGCGGGTGTCCATGGGCGGCGCTGATTGCTTACCATCAGGTAATCCGTTCGCTCGTTTGCCGACTTATTACATAAAAATAAATAGCTTTTAAAGCTATATTTTTCAAATTAGCTTGAAAAATTTTGCACCATATTAAGTAAATCGAGAAATCAATAATTGAAAGTATACATTTTTTCAAATACTTTATAGTAATGAAAAATAGAAATAGTATTTTCTGACTAAAAAACTACCTACTCCCAAAATAAGAATTAGAGAAAAAATCAAGAACTCAAAATAACCATTCCCTATCCGAGAATCAAACCAACACAACACCTTTCTCAAACCTAACACCATAAACAAACAAACAAACTGAAACACACAATCGTATTAAATAACTTATTACAACCAAGATTTGAACCCGGGACCCGGAAGGCATATGTTCCTAGATTACTTTTAAGCAATTAATAAGTTTATTGATTACCTAACACCATACAGGCTGACCCGAAACTTTGTTCCGTTAAAATACCGTTTAAATTAACTTTGGGATTAATAAGTTGATTTTGTTAAGGGTATGTTGTCTTTAAGAGAGCTTGGAGTTTAAGCCGATCGCTTCTCATGCTAATTTTCAAAACCTGGCTAATACTTAAGTGACTTTTTCCGAGCTATATGTAATTTATATAGCCTTTGGCTTTTAAGATTTTGACATCACTGCCATACACATCATCATCATCATCATCATCAGCCTTTAAGTGCCCGCTGCTTAGTAAAGGCCTCTTCTCACACGAATAAGGTTTGAGCATTAATCACCACGCTTGCTCAATGCGGGTTGGCGACTTCTAACTTATAATCTATACTAATATTATAGAGAGGTAAAATTTGGAAGTTTGTATGTAGGGGGTAATCTTTGGAACCGCTGGTCGGATTGCCAAAATTCTATCACTGATAGATAGCTACAATGTTCTTGAGTGCTATAAGCTATAAAACATCACGCTACGATTAAATAGAGCCGGCGGGTGAAACCGTGCGAGAGTAGCTAGTTAGAAAATATAAGTTCAGGTTTCCTCACAATGTTTTCCTTCAGCATAATTATATGTCAGTGGTGTCTAAATAATCATAGAAAGTACATATAACTCGGCAAAAGTCACATTGGTACTTGCCAGGTTTCGACCCCACGCCGCCCTCATGCATGAAAGATAATGGCGAAAGACGGTGTTTTTTTATGGTATAAGTCGGCAAACGAGCAGATACATTGCCTAATGGTATGTAACCAGCGCCCATGGACACCCGCAACACCAAAGGAGTTACGAGTGCGTTGCCGGCCTTTTTGGGGATGGGGGTTGCGGATAGAAGGATTGGGAAGGGATAGGGGAAGGGGAGGGATTGGGCCTCCGGTAACCTCACTCACACGGCGAAACACAACCCTGTGGGTTGTTTCACGCCGGTATTCTGTGAAGCCGTGGTATAACTCCGGTCGAGCCGACCCATTCGTGCCGAAGCTTGGCTCTCCCACACTTAAAATGTCGTGAAAAATTCTTTTGTTGAGAAGAGAAATTGTAATGACTTCTCCTGCTTAGGTTGTGGCGAAAGAAAGTTAGACTTTTGCTGGGTAGAAACCTCCCCGTTCCTTCACCTACACCAAGTGCTGGTTTCCTCACCATTAAGCGTAGGTATCGCGGCCTGAACCAAAAGTTGATAAGTATATCGCATGTTAAACAGAAAAGAGACCTAACTCAAAAAATAAAGTATTTCAATCTTAAAAATTATGCTTCAATAATAAGGTTCAATTTTGGAATATCCTCATTTTTGACTTAGTCCTTTTTTCTATTCCTCATTTTTCTATTTAACATGCGATGCGGTCGTTATTACATTGTTTGTTACAAACACAAATGCTACTTTCTCGTCCTTATGGCTCACAGATAATAAAAAATACACGCGACATCACGCATAATGTTATACTCTGTGGACCATAGACAAAAGTCTTTCTTTTTTTTCTTTTGTTATTTTTTTTTTTAAGTCATTTAATTTTTATATGTATGATTTTTAGTATTATTTTATTTTCTTCCTTTTTTTTTGTATTTTTGTTTTATGTGAGTGCGCTTGCGCGAAAATAAATGTTTTTCTTTCTTTCTTTCTTCTATAAGGAACAGGCTGGATTTTAGGAATTAAGAATCTGGCACTCCTTCCTGCCAGCCCTGTGCGAGGAGTCACTTGATGATTTTCTCCTCACAAAAACCGATATTCCAAATCTATTTACTCGTACTTATCAAAAATATTTATTTCTATGACGACAATAAAACATTTATTTTTATAATATTTAATTAATTTTGCACAAAACGATACGTAGAGCTTCCCCTTAACTAAAATCTCCTATATTAACCCGTCATTACAAACATGTGACGGGCATCGAGCTAAATCACTCTCCGTCCTGCTCACTCACTTCACAATAAAGAGAGAGGGAACATCGACTAAGTAACATATTGAGTGAGTTAATGTTTTGGCGCCTTTCTTGGCTGGGAATGGGGTGGGGTGCGAGTTCGAGCGAGGTAACAACATACATTTGTGTTGAGTTATTTTTTGCTTAAAGGAGCAGAATGAGCACAGCCACGACACCAGACGAGTTACGAGTGCGTTAGTCCTTTTGGGGATTCCGGAGATTAACATAGATTCTTCGGCATCTGAAAAACATCACTGCTAAACCAAGTTTTTTCCCTTTTGTCCTTCATGATAAACGACAACGACAACTGTATTTTAATCAGCCGGGGTTGCGGAGTAAGCGCAATGAGGCACCGCGACCTCGGCCCAGAGCAGGAGAAGGAACAGGGGGGTTTTTAGTCAGTAAGAGTCTGCTGTCTGACACTCCCTCCCGCCCGGCCCTGGGCGGGAGAAGTCATTTGATGATTTTCCCCTCACAAAAAAAACTTTATTTTAATGTTATTTAAGTCGGCAACAGCGAAACACAACGCTGTGGTTGTCTCACGCCCCGGTTTTCTTTGAGGCTATGGTATCACTCCGGCCGAGCCGACCCATTCGTGCCGAAGCATGACTCTCCGACATAGGCGGTGTCTACTACTCGATTTTGTGTCTACTACTCGATTTTTTTTAAGACAATGTCTTAACACAATTTAGTACTTATTGTTTACAATAAAACATTTATTAATTAGTTATTGGTGACCAACTAGGCTAGTAGTAAACGGAGAAACTGCCATGCTAGATGCACGCCTTTCGTAATTGCGGGGCAAGCGCTATGGCGTATCTGTTGTGTGGCGTAGACCCCTATTCCTTGGCCGCTGCCTCGGCCTGGTGCAGGAGAAGGAACGGGGGATTTTTATTCAGTAAGAGTCTGACACTCTTTTCTTCCCACTGGATGAGAGCAGTCAGAGCCAGCATTATTATTTCCAACAAAACTAAAAACAGGTGGTTTTAAAACGTCAGTCAGTGCGCGCGCTCCGAAGTGTAGATTTGAATGGAGAAGAACGAGCAAGAAACTCCATAAGCAACTAAACAACCTTCTAGAATCAAAAGGCCCTAGCTCCCGGTTTCCGAAAGGCCGATCAATGTTAAAATCAATTTAATCTCTTGTCAAGTCATCTGATTGGTTGACTGAATTACCAACAACCAATCAGATGACTTGACAAGAGATTTAACAGGAGATAAGTTAATTTTAGCGTTGACAAGCCTTTCAGAAACTGGGTGTAAGTATCCTATAAACCCTAAGTATCTGCATTACAATTTCAATTGAAGAATTTAAACGTTTACAAGAAACATTGTGCAGTGGAGCCGCACCCTGCCAATTACAATTCTATTCCATACTCCATACGAGTCTAATTTACGTAACTTTTGTTTCTATTTTTCATAAATTACGAAAACAAATCGTTAAACAATAGACTTGTTATTCTAATTAATTGTGAAGGGTACAACATTTGTGCTGAGTTGGGTAAAGGATAATTTGGTAAAACTTATTGTATGCCAGCTTTTGCCCGCGACTTGGATTTCGTGAAATAGTGACTTCCTGCAGATTTTTTGTTTAAAAAACTATCCTATGTCCTTTATCGAGTTCCAAACTATGTCTGTAGGTACCAAATTTCACACAAATACGTTCAGTAGTTTAGGCGTCAAGAAAAGACAGACAGACAGATTGAGTTACTTTTACATTTATAATATTCGCTTAGATTACGCACTGTTGGCGCGATGTACCACAGCCCCAGCCCGGAATGACGGCGAGTAAGGATAGCTCGCCGCCCGACCAAAACCAGACCCGAGCGTACGGCGCGTAGCGTTCCGCGCGCGCCTCAAAGAGCCAATAGACCACCACAGTCGGGGCCCTAAAGGGCTGATGTTCAGCCGGGGTTGCGGGGTAAGCGCAATGAAGTACCGCGACCTCGGCACAGAGCAGGAGAAGGAACGGGGGGGGTCTAGTCAGTAAGAGTCTGACACTCCCTCCCGCCCTATCCTAGAGAAATCATTAAAAGCCCCAGTCCGGAATAGGAGGAGGAACGGGGTCGTTTAGAAACACTTCTTCTTACCTCAAAAGTGTGGGAGAGCCAAGCTTCGGCACGAGGGGATCGGCTCCTTCCTTCGGAGTGATACCATGGCCTCATAGAATACCAGTGTGAAATAACCACAGCGTTGTGTTTCGCCGTGTGAGTGAGGTTACTGGAGGCCTCATCTCTGCCCCTCCCCTACCCTTAAATATCCGCAGCCCTTATCCCCAAAAGCCACACTCGGAACTCCTTTGGTGTTGCGAGTGTCCATGGGCGGCGCTGATTGCTTACCATCAGGTAATCCGTCTGCTCGTTTACCGACCTATAGGTAAATAAAATACTCGTACCATAAAAAGATAAAATTCAAAAGATATCGAAATGTTATCTATACATACTAACGCGTAATCAAAGCTATAGAACTACATTTTTTTTTATGTAATAAGTCGGCAAACGAGCAGATGGATTACCTGATGGTAAGCAATCAACGCCACCCATGGACACCCGCAACGGAGGAGTTACGAGTGCGTGGCCGGTCTTTTGGGGATAAGGGCTGCGGATATTTAAGGGTAGGGGAGGGGCAGAGATTAGGCCTCCATTTCATTGTTTCATTGTTTCATTGTTTCACTCCAGTCGAGCCGACCCATTCGTGCCGAAGCATGGCTCTCCCGCACTTACTACATATATATACACATACATATAAGGAAAAGGTGGGTAAGCAGAACTCGTGATATATTTGTAATTACAGAGTCTTATTTAATGGTATATCTATCAAGTAAGTAATTAAGTGTAACCATAAATATGGTGTTAAGGGAGATCCTATTTATAACGTTTAATTATTTGAAAGGGTGGAAGCAGAGTTGCAGGTGTGAGTGGTATTTTTATGTCATTTGTGTAGTGTATTTACGAGTGGAGGGTGTCTTTAAGTTGAGAGTGAGGTGTCAGGTTCGATGCTCTGGCTATGAGATATCTTTGTAGTTTTTGAAAGGTTTTGCACATTGACTGATTATGAAAAAAAGATTAATAGCTAACACAATTTCATTAATACAATGTTTACTGCACGGTAAGTGACCACTCTGTGTGAGATCCACAAATTGTTGTTCCGGTTCTAGGTGTGTGATATGTAGGTATATGTAATTGTAAGTTTGTAAACGCAATAACGACACAGGAATTAAACCCTAAAAAATAGGTTTAACCTGACCCGGGAACCAATACAAGACACATTACATGACAGTTGTATTAGCAATAGCTCGACCAACGAGATAAATAAAATATCAAATAAAATGTTGTCTTAAGTACATCCTCATTAGGTACATAAGAAAAACCTGTTCGTTAATTTCGCTAAAACTCCAAAACGGCTGACCTGATTTAGTTGAATTTGGTCTTTAATTAACATTCGTAGACAAAGTCCAGGGATGAAACGAATGCAAGTATAATAATATATATAAAAAGGTTAAATCTTTTTTTTTTTTTTAAAGAGTAACGATTGAGTTTCTTCTTTGTTCTTCCCCATTCGAAACTACAATTTGGAACGAGCACCTAGCTTCACTGACGAACAGACTGACAGACTACTATTCTATTTTAACGTTTCAAAAGTACCTATTTATGGTTTAGATGGAATAAATGATTTTGACTTTGACTTTGAAGGAAAATTTTCTTTTTTTATTTGATTTTGTTGTCTAGCGATATGGTTGCCAAGCAACGAAGCCTTTCTATTAATAAAAAAAGTTATTTCCCATTTGAAACATTTCTTTGCCTCAGTTTTTAAAGCAATTTCTTATATGTATAGGAGTTTCTTCTAGGAATCTACACTTTGGAAAAAGCCAGATTCCCAGACCAGATCGACTTTTAAGCTGACACTTATTAAAAATTGTTTTTTTTTTTAATATTTGACACTCAAATGTGCTAATGTTCTACGTAATTAATATAAATGGATTTAAGATAATTTATAGAATCAGGCGTAACTTTGCGGAAGTCCATGACATTAAAGGTTAGGAAAATCATTTA